ACCCGGACAGCCCGGGAGAGGGAATGAGCGGCCAATGGAGATTTATGTGAGCGGAGTGAGATGGACAAGGTAAAATTGTCAGGAGGAGTTGTTAGAAAGTAAAATATATTGTGACAATTCCACTCCTGCCGTTCATCAATAAACTGACAGATCATTTAGTGTCAATTAGGAGTGATAGATGGACAAGTCCCCATGATCCCGGGCCAAAATTAATGGCTGGGAGGGAGAGGGTGATTGAAAATGACGGCTGACATTGAGAGCAAAGTCCTGAAAGTCCCTGAGGGACCATTACTTGCCTCATTCCCTTGCAGATCCATGCAGGGACAAACCCCAAAACAGACACTTGGAGACAAAACTTACCCAGACTGCTACCTCTCCTTCCTCTCTCTACCGAGTCTGGCTGCCTCTCCCTTCGCTCCGTTCCCCACGGCCATGCCAGCTCCCCACCTGAGGCAACCTCAGAGCCCAGAGAGCCTGGCTCCCAGACGGACTTGTTGGCACGGCAATGACTTGGGTGCCAGGAGAAGGGACAGGTCGAAGGTGGATGCACGTGAGGAGAGCGAGATGGACGGGGCAGGCCTCGAAGACAGCCCCGGCACCCGACACCTCTAGCCACTGAGGGGGAAGACACAGGCTCTTGGTCTTGGGCAGTGCCGTGCACATGGCATCCCAGAAACTCACCCACCCGCTGGGGCTGTGAGGGCCTCAGTCAGATCTGTCAACGGCCCTTCCGCTTCCTCCTGCTGACGGCACAGGCAGCGTCACTGCCCTCCCACCGCCCTCGCACAAGGACACCTCCCTGGAAGAACGGAGCCCACCCGACGAAGTTCCTGTGATGCGCGCAGAAGGTACAGGTATGAACTGAACGTCCGAGCTCCCCGCAAGTTCCCTTCGGCAGCGTCCTGCTCCTTCGAGCCTGCACTATTTCCTCCGGACTCACTCTCCCCCAGGCATCACACACACGGTTCACCACACACACTTCCCCTTCAGAATGCAGTCTCTTTCCTTTGCTTCTCAGGGCAGTAGCTGGTGTCACTAATCTCATTTCCTCACTGCCCACTTCCCCGTCAGCTCGCAGTAATCTGGCTTCTGCCCCAATGCAAATTACTGTAGCCACTGTCTTCAACGCCCCCAGTCACCTCCAAAGAGCCAAGTCCAAGGCTCTGACCTCGTCTTCTATTTGTGTAGATGACGCAAACTGCACCTCCCTTCTGACCTCTCGTCTGGACTCCCAGACCATGGAAACCATCTGCGAGACCACCAGCCCCCAAATCAGGTCTCTCCTCCGCACTCCCTCTCTGACGGCACCGCCACCTGACCAGCCATCAGAGCGCAGCACCTTGCGGTGACCTTCAACTCCTCGCTCTGTCCTGCATTCAACCAAGGGCACTCCTATTAACTCTACCTCCGAAATGTCTCCAAACCCCTTCTCCTGTCCACACTCACACCACTGCCCTAGTGTAGGCTTTCATCATCCTGCATTAAAAATGCTACCTTCCCAACAGGTCTGCCAGCCTTCCAGAGCTCTACCTCTCTCTGAAAGCAAAGCGATCAGTCCAAAACACTGATCTGGTTGTTCATTTGTTCAACAGTCACTGAGTGCTTACTACGGACGGGCACTGCTGGAAGTTCTGAAGTATGGAAACGAGACTGTGTCGCCGCTCAAGGAGCTCACGTTACAATAGAGAGGAGACAACGTATGCATGTGTCAGACACACACGTACATATGCACATATGTCACATCTGTGAACACATAAAGCAGGAGAACACGGAGCAACGAGGGGTGCCCCTTTACATAAACTGAGGTCAGGCCGAGCCTTCCAAGCCACAGTGAGGACTCTGGGGTTTAACTGGCAGGAAAATGCCAGTGGGGGGTTGGGAGAAGACAGGTCAAATGACCTCACCTATGTTTTAAAAAGGTCGCCTGCTCCGCGGACACAAGGCCGAGGGACACAAGGGTGAAAGGGCGACAGGAGGTTCCCACTCGAGTCAGTGTGAGAAACGGGGGCAGCTGCAGCTGGGCACTGGCCGAGCAGACAGCAGCTGTATTCCGACCGCACACTCAACGTGGTGTGCAGACAGACGGACAGGAGTGAAGACAAACAGAGGGTCCCAGGGTGATCCCCACCCAGGCTCACGGTCCAAGCAACAGGGCAGACGGGCTGCCATTTGCAGAGCTCCAGGGAAGACTCTCCCAGGCACGGGGTGGGGGTAGAGACTATGGGAGGGGTGGAGACTAAGAGGGCCGATTTGGACGTGTTAGGGCTGAGGTGCGTATTCAAGGGGCGACGTCGCGTGGACAGCTGGACGTCCGTGCGCAGGCCTGGGCTGGGAAACGCGTTTCGGAGTCATCAGTATCCGAGTGACAGTTACACTCCCGAGGCTGGGTCGAGATCACGCCGAGAACGACTGCTAGCAGAGGAGAGAGGAAGTTCAAGGACGAGCCCTGGGCACGCCCACATTTTGCGGGGTCAGGACTAGGCCACAGACTGAGGAGCTGAGCCAGTGAGTCCCTCGAAAAATAACACAGGAAACGGAAAAGCATCTCTCTCCAAGAGGAAAGTGATTTCATCTGGAAAAACGTTCAGTATGTTCATCGAGGAATAAATACTTGAGATCCTCTTTAGTTCTCTTAAGAAGCAGATAATGGATTTGTCTCATTTTCACATTTCAAAACAAATTACAGATATCAAAAGCACTAAAATTCTCTAATAACTGAGAAAAACGGAGCTCTTCTTTAAGACTCTCATTAGTAATGTATAAGACCTACATTTCAAAGTCACCTTCTTCCTGGTTACTACTGAGAAGGAGTGCTAGGTTGGCTCATGCCGGGTAGCTCGGCTGGTTAGAGTATCATGCCGATACGCCAAGGTTGCGGGTTCGATCCCTGGTCAGGGCACATGCAAGAGTCAACCAATGAATGCATAAGTAAGTGGAACCACAAATCAATGTTTCACTCTCTGTGTGTGTGTCTCTCTCTACAACCAATATATAAAAATAAGTAAATAAATTTAAAAAGTAGTGTTACGTTGAATGTGGTACCTAATGGGCAGAAAGACGAACGGAGCAGAGCAGCACACGCACAGCAGACTTGGGTGCACAAACAAAAGTAGAATACAGTGAAGGCGGCTTCTGAGTGCCCTGGGAAAGATGGGTTTTTACAATAATAGTGCTGGGACGAAAGCCATTTAGAAAAAGATAAAGCTAGAGCCATACCTCTTACCATACACTGAAATTAATTCCACATGGGTCAGAAATCTAAATTTCAAAAGTCAGATTTAGGGCATGCTTTTATTCCAGTAAAATGATCTAGAAAACCAGGCAGCTGGGCCACAGTTTGTTGAATCTAAATGTATGGAAACAAAGAAGGATAAATTTTTAAATTTATATATGCATGCTTATTTTTTATAAAAAGTAGTAGAGGAAGGAAAAGCCTCCTTTATTATATATAAATTTATATAAGCATGCTTATTTTTTATAAAAAGTAGTAGAGGAAGGAAAAGCCAGACAGGAACCCATGGCGCGGGGGGGCGGGGGGGTGGCGATGAGCTGGCGGGGGTAAGGATGGGAATGAGACATCTCTCAGTGCATCTTTCTACTCAGGGCTGTCCAACCTTTTTGCGCCTCTGGGCCACACTGGAAGAAGAGTTGTCTTGGGCCATACATTAACTATATTGTGACACATAATCACACAAAAAAATCTCATAATGTTTTAAGTACATTTACGATTTTGCGATGGGCCACACTCACAGCCATCCCGAGCCGCATGCAGCCCGTAGGCCGCTGGCTGGACACCCCTGTGACACGTTACCATCTGTTCTTGCCAAAAACCATTAACGTGAATGTAATCATGAGGAATTAACCAGAAAACATGGAGAGTATTAGCTATTCAACAAGAAGACTGGCCGAGATTCTTTAAAAAATGTCAGTGTTCTGGGTGGAGGTGGTAAAGGGTTGGAGTTATTTAAGATCAAGAGACTAGAGACAGAACTACCAAATGCAATGTGTGAAACACTGACCGGGTCCTGAAGCTATGGGAAAACCATTTTGGGACAGTTGGGGAAGTTTAAACTGGTTACTAAGTCATTACGAAGTTTCCAGGATGTGATGGTCACCCGATTATCTGGAGGACGGCCGTCATCTGCGGGGGCACGCCGAAGTCTCCAGAGGCAGAATGTCACAGCCATGGCCACTGCAACTTGTCTTCAAATGACTGGGGTGGGGAGGTGGGGGGGGGGGATGGTGTTCTCAGAGGTGGGGAGAGGAAGGCGGGGGGGGGGAGGGGAAAGAACTGGAAAAAATACTTTTGGTAGTGCTGCTTTGAAGGCAACGGCTGCTGCAGGAGATTTCCTGCCGAAGGAAACTGGGAACGAGAGTCACGTGTATTCCTTGTGAGAAAGAAATTCCCTTCCTGCATGTATCATAAGTTGTCAAACGGGAGAGCTGGCCGGCCCACTGGTGTCGTAAATACTTTTTTGGTTTACTTTTCATCGAAAACTTAGTCCAAGGAATGAAAGGCCAAAATGCCTTGTAATCTAGCAGTTACTGGCAGGCAACTCCATCCGTTTAGAAAGTCACACTAAGAACAACACCATGCTACAACACGGATGAACTTTGATGACATTATGCCAAGTGAGAGGAGCCAGTCACAAAAAGACCACATCACGCGTGAGTCTGTTTCCATGACACGTCCGGAACAGGCATATCGTAAAGACAGAAAGCAGACTGGTGGTTGCCCAGGGCTGGGGAGACTGGGGGGACATGGGAAGTGACTGCTAACAGGTACGGGGTTTCTTGGGGGTAATAAAAATATGGCGATAATAGCACAACTCGGTGACTAGGCTAAGAATGACTGAACTGTATATTTTAAATGGGTGAATCATAAGGCATATGAATATATCTCAGTGAAGCTGTTACAAAAAAACAAAGGAACAACACAGGAGCAAACCACCTGGACCCACCCTGCCCACCCTCCCCTCCCCTGAGATGCTGGTACTCACTTTGAAGCCTTCAAGGAATCATCCGCCCAGCCTCCTTGCCGGCGGGGTGGCTTGGGAGGGGGAGCCTACAAGGAAAAAGAAGCTGAAATAACACAGTCACGAGACATGTGCATTCAAGCAAGCAGTGGCTGAGGTTAAGGTCACCTGCACCAACATTTAACCTATCAAAGCCTTTCAGATAAAAACGCAGTTACCTTTCCATTTACTACAAAAATCTGGCAATGTCTACTGAAAGCCTCAAAAATAAATACTCAGAGTTCTTGAGCCAGTAATTCTAATCCAAGGAATGTATCCCAAGGAAACAATCAGAGAGAAACAGAATGCCATTTCTGAAACAATGGAAACAGACAGCTATAGGAGTTAAGTACATCACAGAATATACATGTGAAAATACTGTGCAATAACGAAAAATTATGTTAAAAAATAATAATATGAGAAGGTTCACTATACATGAACTTTTAAAAACATGTAACACTGTAGGTATATGCTCCTGACTTTGTGAGATTATTAATACCTAATATCTAGTGTTAATTAGCTCTAACTCCACAGGTGAAGAAGGGCACTCCCAATGACAGAATTATAGGAAATTTTTATTTTCCTTCTGTATACCACCAGGCATTTTCCAAATTTCTAAATAATCATTTTGTACTACTTTTATAAAGTAATAAAATAAAGCTATAAGAGAGAAGCTTGCTTAAAAGACATAAACGAAGCTGGTGGGTTAAAAATCTGGTCAGATTATTTGGGCAGGAAGCAGTCACCTACAGTGGATACTCTCAGAAACCCGAGTGCAGGGATTCTCGTCTGGCACATCTCCACTAAAACTCCCTAAGGAGCATCAAGCAATCCATTCAACCATTCAAGGTGGGTAAAACAGCAAAGAACACTTCCTATTTTGAATTACCAGCATTTACCTAGACATTTTTCTATAATACCTCCTTCTCTCCCCCAACAACCTCACCTCATCGCACCTGTTGTTCTCAGTCTCAGGAGACACTCAGGGGAAATGGACTGAAATAGGGGTTGGCAAACTTTTTCCATGAAGGGGCCACACAGTTTCTGCTGCAACTCCTCTATTCTGATACCGCAGGGCGATAAACAGCCGCAGATAGTAAGTAAGCAAACAGGCACAGCTGTGTTCCGGTAGCACTTTACAGAAACCAGCAGCGGGCCAGATCTGGCAACAAGGATGTGGTCACCTGACCCCTGGGCTACACCGTGTCATTGCCACGCCCTTTAAATCTGCTGCTTGCAGCCTAACATAACTGTTTAAGGAAACACTCCCTCAACGTGCCCAAATACCTTCATCCTTCTGATGTGCGGGTTCTGCACCACCCCAGGGCACCCCAGCCTGCCCGGGATGTGCTCCGTAGACGCTGGGCCTTTCTGCAGCGTGAGGTGGAACCTGCTGGAAATGGCTGACTGAGAAGCAGTAGGTCCCGCATCCAACTTAGCTCCTGGGAATGTGAGTAGTCCTTTAGAGAACACAGACTTGACTTCGCTATGCTAGAGGCAGGTAATGGAGCTACCTGGGTGCTCTGTGCATCTCAACTGGGAACGACAAAAATACTGAAGTGGAAAAGAAGCTGTTGCTTGTCTCTCTCAGGGGAGAAATGAATCTTTGGGTGTACCAAGAGATCCCTACCATCGCTTCCCGGGCCACACTCCACACTTGCCATCTCTAGGCTGGAAGGGGAGGCCTTACATGCCACCGCCCTCCTTCCCTAGACACAGCCAACCAAACCAGTGCGGGGGGCGGGCACCAGCCTGACCCAGTGGGAACCAACTGCACTCTCTGTCCCAGGGATCTGGAATCGAAGCTCAGAGGTTAGGCTGTTCAGACGGCACTGAGATGAGAACTAAAAGGACCAGGTGGACTCGGAATAACCAAAACTACCACCAGCCAAAGTTGTGCATGAGCAGAGACCGAAAACCTTTTCTTGCTGAGCTCTCACCATCAGTAAGGCACTGTGTTGGGGAGACTTAAACTGCTAAGGAGAACCGAACTAAACCGCAGCAGGGCCCTCGAGGGTGTCTTTAAACCAACATGACCTTAAACCACCCATGTGCTTTTGAAGATAACATCTGTATTTCTTTACCGAACAATAGAACCATCTTGTGATCCTATGAACACCTAAATCTAAAGGTCTCAAACTTGTAACTGTGTTTTGTTTGGCCACATAGTAGGTTTGTTTGTTTTTATTTTAAAATTTAAGCTACCATTTAAAAGTTGGGGGAGAAAAACATTCTGTTAAGTCTGGCCCCAGGAGGCCATGGCTATTGGGAGGGTAAGTGAAGTCCCCTCCACACAGAGAAAACGTAAAGACACATTTTCTCTCTTATTCTTCCCATTACGAGATGGTGCCAGCTGCTAATTAGGACCACAGCTTCAAATTGCAGATGAAAAGCCCTGACCAGTGTGGTTCAGTGGGCTGGGCATCATCCTGCAAAGTGAGAGGTCATCAGTTTGACACTTGGTCAGGGCACATGCCTGGGTTGCGGGTTCGGTCCCTGGCTGGGGCACGTGCAAGAGGCAACTGATCAATGTTTCTCTCTCACATCGATGTTTCTCTCCCTCTTTTTCCCCCTCCCTTTCCCTCTCTGTAAAAATAAATACAACCTTTAAAAATAACGTGGACCAAAAGGGGGCGCTATAATGAATCCAACAGAAAGTAACCTCACAGAGTGAGCTCATCATACATTCCCACCTGGGCAGGTCATGAAATGCTAGGAGTAATCCTCTTTTCCAGACAATTCAAGGCTAACCACCCTCGAGAGAGCGTATAATCTTCTTAACTGTTTTGTACCTGGTTCTCCAGCCTTCATGTAATCTTCCCTAGGTTCCCTCCTTACTTCTAAATGCATAAAAGAAACTGCAAAGCTGTTCTTCTCTGAACATGAGATCTTGCCTCCAGGCAATTTTTCATCAGTTCGGCTCAAATAAATTCTTCTAAAAATTCTCTACAGGTTTGGACATTCTTGCATGGACAAAAACAAAAAGATCACCACCACATAGAAGTCACTCCTCCAAACCCAACAGAATTGGACAACTAGTTCCAAAAGCAAAGGATTTTATTTTATTTTTTTACAATAAGAACCATGACCAAAGAATCCACAACGTGGCCTGTGTTGTAACACTGCAGGCTACTTTTCACGGCAATCGCCCGGGAGAGGAAGCGCTACCAAGAAATGCCCCGCCCAACGTGGGGCAGGACTACCGCTGTCCCTCTGGCTGCCCGGTGGGCGTCTCGCCGACCTCAGGAGAGAGCGCGGAGGCAGGCGGGAGACCAAAGGGCAGGCAGAACCTAATGCCCACAAGTTAGGCCTTGTGCAACCAGCAGTGGGAAATGTCTCTTTCCTGACCTGGAATCCTTATGTTCATGACTGAGTACTCTGAGTCCAAGGATAGAAATTTCTTTCAGATGAGGCAGACTTAATTAACCACTGTCACCAAGTTATAAAGGCTTTCCCCAGGAGTTCAACTTTCCCGCTTTGTGAGGGGCTGGACACTGTCGTATGTGCACCAGGTGCGTTAGAAAAAGCAGGATTCCGTCCCTGGCCTCAACCGTTGCTGAAGTTCAACGAGGCTGAGGTGAGACAGAACTCAGGGTGCGTCAGCTCTGTCTGAAACCCAGGTGACGGGACACCAGGCTGAATCTGAAACTTCAGAGGCCGCCGTGGAGGCAGGAGGTAGGCATGAGGGATGGAGGTACTGACAGCCCCTCCTCGGAGAGGCTGCTTTCAGGGTCCAAAGGTGAAACTGAGAACTCCCTCGGCCCTGGGGAGGTCCCACTGAATCCTGCGGTTTTCTGGTCACCGCTGGTGGTGTGCACTGGGCCACTTTCTCCCAAGGCATCACTGAAACAGCGCGCCGACAACATGAATGAACTCGTAACACACAACTGAAAGCTGAACAGACTTGTCCCAACGTGGGGAGTGCTGGGATAAGAAAAGGTCAAAGCAGCTCTGCAGGGAAAGTGGGGCTTGCCCTGGATTGGAGAGATAAGCAGAGATAAGAAAGCATTCCCGAAGCAACCAGAGTTGTGAAACAGCCTATAGCAAATGCTGTTCACTGATCATCACAGTGGACAGGTCCCTGGGAAAACCCTTTGCGGGTACCAGGAGCTCCACAGCATCCACCGCTTTACAACACAGGCAGTAAGTGGAAGCCGATGTAACTTGATCATAATGCAGTAGTTTGAAATTAGGTGCAAATGATCTGTTTAAAATGTAAGCGGACGACTGGCTTTTAGCAATATAATGTAAAAGGCCTGGTGGGTTCTTTTGCATGGGCAGTCCAGCCCCTGAACGCGTGGCTGCTTTCCCTCAACGATGAAATCTACTTCCCTAGTTAGCCGAGTTTGCAAAAGCGCCCCCTAGTTCTCTTCCCAGGCTGATCTGAAACACTAGCCACACTCCTAGGCTGAGCTGCTCCTTGAGGGGGAGGAAGTGCTGTGCTTCCCCCTCCCCAAGTGGTAACAGATCAGATGCCGGGGCACTTAGGCGGGGTGGGGGTGGGGGTGGCCTGGACGCCCTCTCCAGGGCAAATGGCACAGCCCCAGTGCCCACACACAGTGGTGAGAAGCTGTAATTAACAGATCCCTCCATCTGGGGCGGGGTTCTCGGTGTTCTGAGTTCTCTGCGTAATGGCTTGGGGATTTCAAGGAAAGGGAATTTACTCTTGGTCATCCTTGAAACAAGAAAATCTTTAGGCAGGCGCTTTCCTCAAGAAGCACACCAAGTTCGGAACCCTCCCTGACTGAGCACTTGGGAAGCCGTCACCAGTCTGTCTGAGTCACGACTTTGCTGCCCTGGGTCGGGGAGGAGGAGAGAAGAGAAAACCTGGGTGCGAGAGAGCAGAGCTCACATGATCTTAAAACCCAGAAGGAGGAGGAGGAGGCCTGCCCCGAGAATTCAAAAACCCCGGTGTGTTCTTTAAACTGCTCTGCTTGTGGAATTCAGACGCGGGATCCCAAGACACCTGCTGGGAAAACAATCTCCAATTTTGGCAGATTTACGGCCAGGTAACGTTACCCAAACTGTTTGTAAAAGAGAGTGAGAGAGA